CCCATGCCCTTGAGGCGTGCATGCGCCCGGCGAGCGCCCAGCCATCTGAGGGTTTCTGTGCCTGAGACTCTGTTGTCGTTGCGCGCTGTGCGGCAAGGACGCGGAAGCCTTGCTGTGAGCATTTTGTAGCCAAACAGGATCACGCCTAGTGCCGTAGCCGCAGCCACTTCATAAATGAGCCAAATCGTCCAGATGGACAAGAAAGCATCCTTGACATTGGCTGCTTCAGTCATACGGCTGCTTGGCCGCTTGCCGGGTGAAATGCCATGCACACAGCGCAGCTTAAGCTTGTGGACACGTGGCGGTGGGCATTTCAGAAGAGGTGGGTTTGCCCATGGCTACTTGGGGCTGTTGTGTAGGGTGTTCGCTAAGACTGTCTTACCCGCAGGGGTGACGGTTTTTTGAGGTTAGTGAACATGATAGGGTGTCACGTCCGCATCCAGACTCGGCCAGTGGTCCAAAAGAAAAGAAAGGCCGCGTCGAGGCGACTTCCCACCTCTCGCCAGTCACCGTGGTGAGAATGAAGCATATTTACAGCACAACGATTGCCCATCCTGCTGAGTGAGCTGGCACACCCGGTGGGAAGGGCACTCCACCATGCGTCCTTGATGCCCAAGCAGCGTTGTGGCAAGCTCTCTCCCTGCAGCCTGCGGCAGAGCTGCATTGAGGCTTCTTTACCCGAGAGCTTCGACACAAGTCTGGTCAAGACACAAGCGACACAGTCGGTGACCGCAGTCTTTGCACAGAGTGCTTTGTTACCGCCGTTTCATGCAATGCGGTGCAGGGGCGGCTGATGGCTGGGGGCTCTAACTCAATGCTTTCGCGTGCCACAGAATTCAACCTCAGAGAGTCCAAATCTGGAGCTAACCTCGCTAATTGGATGCAGCCTCAGCGAAAGTTGAATGATGGCTTTGATTTCGGCTGTCACAGGGCCACTCAGCTGTAGCTCTTGCACTGGCCGTTCGCAATTGATGCAGGGCAGACAGCGCTTCTACCTTGGGACTTGCATGTCGCTGGAGCCTGAGTAGAGGGGCGCGCCGCTCCTCTCAAACTCCGCTAAGGGCACAAGGTAAGATAGTGACCTCACCTTGCTGCCAGATACTGGCAATCTTGTACAAATCAAGTTGCGTGAACGATTCATCTATGCTTGAGGAGCACCTTGTTTCCAGGCCTGGGTGGCTTGAAGCGCGCTGTTTTGTTTTAATGGCAGAAGTACTGAACCAAGGGGCCAGGCCTGCAGAAACATATTATTGAAGCGCATGCAGGCAGGGTTCAATCATATTTGCCCGACCAGGCCCAAAAGCAGGAGACCATGCTGCAGCTGAAATTTGCCATGCAAAGCAACCTTGTAACTGTCTTGGATTAGGCCTGCCAATTTTGTAGGGGCAAGCAGAAGCCGATCTTATCGGTTGTCTCGTGCCATGTCTCCGTGTGTAGCACGGACCAGGTCTGCATCTTCTCGTTTTGTCAATTACAGCGACCAGCCAACATTCAAGTTTAATCAACCTTTCGTTCGGCTAGTTACCGGTTTGTAGCGTGGGCACAGGATGGCCAGGATTCAGCGTAGCCTAACATAAGCTCACCCATCCCTCAAAAAAGCGGAGATCACGTTGGCATATGTGGGAAAACATTGGACCGGGGCTGCTATGCTTTGGTATATCTTGCCGAATCATTGCTGACACGTCTGTGCTAGAGCGCAAACCCGCTTGGGGTATTGATGTCCAGACTGTGCCAGATTTGCCAAGCAAGCTGTGCCTGGCCTTCGCCTACCAGAGGAGATGTACTGGCTGTTCTCGGGACCATGGTGGGCCAGACCTCCCTTAACATATTCATCAGCTTGGATTTGAAGTCCAATGAAGTGTAACCCTTCGCCAGCGTCCATGCTGATCTTCTGGCACGGACGGCAGGTAGGAGGAACTTGGTACGTTCTTGTTAAGGGTCCTATGGTGCACGGTGTGCGCCGTCTTGTGCGCACCTGCTGGATATGTGCTTGAAGCAGGGCTAGGAGCAGGTGCGCGTTGCTGGAAGTCGATGCGCAATAAAGCAGCACTAGACAAGATAGCTGCTTCTCATCCAAGATGCCTGGCGTCAAAATTTTTTCTATGAAGGAAAAGTCTTTTCATTAGTGGCGAGCAGCTGCTCTGACACATCAATCTGCCTCGTGGCCCCTTCGCCCCTTTGACCCCGTGATGCTGGAGCCTTGGCCTTGCGGGTGCATCCAAGCGGCCTGCGATGCCAGCAAAGCATGGCAGGCCTGACCTCACATTATACGGGCCATATCCGATCCTAAGACATCAAGGTGGCTTTGTGGGTTTTTGAAGCAAGGCAAGAACAGTATAGGCATGCCAAGCTAGCCCACCTGCTGGCGCGAGGCTGAACACCACTCAACATGGTGCTGCGAGATTTGCAGCCTCCATCTGAGTGGAGGATGCAAGAAGCTCTAGCCTTCCTACAAGTTTGCCACATGTCTGCAGTTTCCGCGAGCCCTGCCTTTGCAAGACTTATCGTTGTGATCCCGCACGGACACCGCACCGTCCATGCCTGCCCTGAGGTTCAACAAGCTAGAGTCTTGCGGCAATCCCGCGCCCCTGGGTCTGAGCCTCGGGCTTGAATTAGGACTGGCTTTGTGAGACCAGGGTACATAAAGACTGTTTGTGCAGGAAGCTGGCTGTATGATTGCAGGTCACTGGTGCAGAATCTTGGACGCATCTGAAAGAGCAAGCTGCATAAGTTTCTCGTTGCTGCCTCATGTCTGTTTTGTGCTCCAGTGTTTGCTTATAACAGGACAGTTGGGGCCGTGATATCTTATAAGTCGTGTCAAGCCTTCGAGCAGACCTAGGCGCTGAATACTCGCCCGCTGTTTAGTGCGCCGCCACACCTGTGAGTGCATGACGCTGCGTGCTGAACTTTGGCGCAGCATTGGCAAAACAGACTTAGGATACCCATCTACTTGTATCATGATCAGGCTTGCCTTGTGCTGCCTTAATTAGTTTTCTCTATTGCGTGCAAGGAGGAGAGGCAACAGGAGGTTCTGTATGCAATTGAATACCTGGGTGAAACTGTGCAACTGAAAGCAGTTCAGCTCAACAAAACAGTTGCGTGGAAATTTGTTTGGAGCGAGGAAGATCATATGGTTCGATTTGTAAAGTATGTGGCTCTTACTGTGGCCTAGTCACTTAGTCAGCTGTCTACAACTACAGTTTGCAACGTCGAGCAGCATGTCCTGTTAGACAAACCACTACTCGCTGGGCTTTCAGTCAATCAGCTTATTGGCCACGAGCAGATAAAACGAAATCGCTCAAGTTGGACGTGTTGCGCTCGTTTGCATGGCTCCCTGTTGTGCCGTGCTATGCGCCCATGGCTTGTGCTCACAACACTGACAGAGGCTGGGCATGCATCCGTTGCCAGCCATTCCAGGCTGTTCTCAGTGCACCGCCGATTTCGAGGGCAAAGTATTGAGCATTGAGGATTGGCAGGCGCTGTTTGTCTTGACTGTCAATCTGTAAGATTTCAGGCTCTCAGCGACGATGCTGCAGCTTCCGGGGCAGCTTCGTACTGGCGAGGTGGTCGTGTGCAGGCGGCAGAAGAGCCAAACTCTCCAACGCCCATCATTCAGATAGAACCCTGGCTATCTGCAGATGTGGCATTCACCTTTGATAAGTCGTGTGCAACATATGCTATGGACATAAGACTTCTGCAGAGCATCATGCCGCATGTCTGCAAGAATCTGTTCCCCACCGCCGCGCACTAACCCAGGAAGATGGTCAGCTGCAGATAGATTATCAAGGTGATGCTCCCGCCCAAGAATGTTTGGAGTACTACATGGACAAGCTGCGCGTGGAGGAGTTGCAGAACAGGCATCTTCTTCAGAAGCAAAGAGCAGGTACCCGCCAAAGTCGCGGCATGTCCTCCCGTCCGCGTGGAGTGGTTGTTTACCTTCTTATGGAAAACGCGGACAAGGTCCTGCACAAAGACTTGGTTCTGTCCCTGAGATGTTTGGCGCGGTTCTTTTCACGCTATCCGGTCGTCATCTTCCACACCAACAGCACAACGTCCTCCGAACTGTCTTGGATGCGATCCGCTGTTCCAGCTCATTTGCAGGTTGACTTCGAGCAGGTGTCTTTGGGTTTTCCGTCATCAGTTGCTGACCATCCGGGTGGGCCTCAGGCTAAGCAGACTTGAACAGCAACATACCTGTGGCACCCTTTAGTCTCGCACAGACACATGAGCGAGGCCAGATGCTTTTCTGCAGCCACCTTCTTGCATGCTTGACGGTCGGCACCAGCTTTGCCCTCAGGCGACTTGTGAGATTTTGGTTTGAGAGACTGCTGCCTAGGTGGAGCCTGCAACGCAGCTGCGGCTGTCGCTGCCCGGCTTGGCGGCCGCAATGCTGGCCGCCTCCACCGGCATGTCTTATGCCAGTGCTGCAGCCCTTCCGAGATTTGGCTGAAGTTTCATGCGCTCCTCACATCTTTCTGGTGTTTCTGGCTCAAGACGTAGGGCGTGCTGTTGCGGGACGCTTTAACATGTGAGATTTGTGAGTGCAGGGCTACACCTGGAAGTTGCCAGGCATCAACTGTGCTCAGAGGTCTTAAACATATACCTGTAAAAAACCTGCGGAACTGCATGAAACCAAAGACAGCTCAGCAATTCCTAGGATGCAACAGTATAGTTCAGTCCTCCGGAAAAAATGTTGCGGGCGCTTCTGCATGTGACACCCCTTGCTTTGGCGCACGCAGCTGGTGACGAAGAGGTGCACTGTGCTAGGCTTCTTCTTCTTCTTCTTGTCTCATGGTTCTGTCTAGAGAGTAATACTTCTGCCGTCTCATTAGGCGTCGTCCAAACAACGATGGATTTGGAAGAAACAGCTTCCCCAAATCATCCCCAAGCCAAGTTGTTTGGATGGAGCGTCGCCCGAAGGCCCCAAGCTCTTTTCAAGCCTTCAGGAGCGTGATCGTGATCTGGTTTCGTCTTGAACTTGGCATTAAGCACGACGGCAGGTGCTGGCTCACTATGGCACGTTCGAGGCGCCTGTGCTCGCGGCATCTTGACACGGCAAACTAGGATTGTCTTCCCTAGTTAAGAAGCCCCTTCCAAGCTTCGGGGTAGTGCCAGCATGCTGAATCCCGACATGTTCATAAGGATACGACCTTCGAAGAAATCCAGAAGCATTTGTTGAAGGGCAGACCGTTTGTAGTCACTGATGGAGCTCGTGGCTTGCCCATGGCGGAATCTGGGTCTTTGATTGTTACACATAGAAGCGGTCGCCAAACTTTAGCCGCTGCTTGCTCTCCTGCAGGAATGGGACTGCGAATTCGTGCGGAAGCAGTTTCCACAATCAAGGATTCGACATGAGGGCGGTTCCAGTGATGCTTGGACTTGGTTTAAGGCATTTGCCTGACGCAAAGCAGACAATGCTTGCTGCTGACGAAGACCCTTGCAATGCTGCAAGGAAATGAATGACATCCGGATGAGCAGCAACTGGCCGGAGACGGCCAAGGCATATCCTGATGCTAGCAAGTATCCGGAGGGGGCCCCAAAGACGCGGCCTTTCTACTGGGACATCGCCAAAGCATACCAAGCAGAGCGGGAGCGGAAGTGGGGCAAAGATCCTGCAACGGTCGTCAAGAAGATCTTGGAGACCAGCCAGGTCCCCTACTGGCTGCCTAAGCAGAGCGCCAAGGCCTCCTGCAATGCAGTACATCTGTTCTTAGCAGACGTGAGCAAATTCATGGATGCCACCCTCCAATCAGAGTTCATTTGATCTGAGGATATGGGCCATAGTTCTGAAATGTGGTTTCATCCGAAAGGGGCCGGTGCCCGTGCACACATGGCCGCTCGGGCGCATGCGTATTTGCAAGCGTGTGGGTTTTGAAGTATACTTTCTCAGGACCCTCACTGCTCCACTACAGTATCTTTTTGCTTCTCGGGCGAGCGCAAGTGGCGGATGATGGCTGCCTCACTGGCAATGGAGTTGTGTGTTTGCTCCTCATGTGCGTGGCATCGGAATAGTAATTTCGCTTAGGTACCGCCTGCTGCACCACACTCGGAGGGCTACTTTGACGGAGAGATCTATGGAGCGCAGAACCCGTCCAGACGTGGCGAGTGGCAGCCAACTTTCGAGCTTCAAGCTCCAAATGGATCCGCTGTAGTTGTTTATCCAGGAATGATTCACGAAACTGTTTCTACGGCTGATGAATGCTCGTCCTCTGTCTCCCAGACATTCTCTGTTCCGACTCCTGCGGCATACTACCGCGCCTTTTGGCCACGTTTCGCGCTGATCGGCGAGGATGTGGGTGGTTGCGGGCACGTTGTGGAGAGCCTGGTCACGCTTGGAAGCGGTGCCAAAGTCCGGCCAGCGCCGGACCCTGCTGCAAGAAAGGCTGCGAAGCATTTCAATCACAAGGTGGACACCAACAGGGACGGGCAAATCTCCGCAGATGAGCTCATGGCTCTTCAAAAGGGCCGCGGTCCTGGGCTTGCCGAGCTCATCAGCTTCCATGACACCAACGCTGATGGCAGCGTTTCGTCGGAAGAGCTGATCGGTAGCTATGTCATGTTTGCCACAGCCAGCTTCCGAGCATCAAAGCAGGGACGCAATACTGAGTTATGAGCTTGGAGGACAAAAAGGTGCTGTCCAGAACGCAAGCTATCATGGAGCGCGTTGTTGACCATGTGTCAGCTTGTGTTAGGCCGTGAGCATCGCGTGTTATGTTCAAGCATGTTGAGGCATGTGGCCCTTTGTGCGACTGTTGCAGGCTTGAATTGCCCAAATGCCCCTGCAGGGAGGCATATTCGTAGATCGCAGCACATGCTCTTGGCTGAGATATAGCAGGCCGAAAGCAAGCTTGGGCCTTACTTGCTGCGAATTGTTGCAATGCAGTTGCTGATAGGCTTTCTTCCCACATCAAGTCCTGGCTTTGCAGTTTGTGCATCACTCCGCCGCAGGCTAGCTGGAGATGTCTGGCGGCTTCAAAGACTCCTTCACAAAGGAAGACACGAAAGAGGATGTACTTGGCTATGACGACACCGCATTTTACTACTTCGTTGTCAGCGTGCTGACCTGCGTAGCGTTGCCCTGGACGATTGCCTTTATTTACAGTTTTGTTCGTCACGGGCATGATGCAGATAGTGAGTATCCTCGAAAAAGCAGCGAGGGCAGTGTCCTGCGATACTGCCGGACTGCTGCGATGGTGGAAAAGGTGGAGAAGTCTCGAAGTGAAGCCCGAAGATTCACTGCCAGGGCAGCCTTGAGCGCTCTTGTTCAGTTCGTCATTTTGTCTTTCCTCTGGGCATGCATCTTTGGTACAATGACTCAGCTGGGGCATGAAAAGGAGATTCAGAAGTTCGACCCTTTCGTGATTCTAGATGTCCCGCCCTCTGCCAGTGGCAGTGCAATCAAGCGGGCATACCGGAAGTTCTCCCTGATCTACCATCCCGACAAGAATCCGGACGACCCTCTTGCTGCATCGCGCTTCATCCAGATCACAAAGGCTTATCAAGCTTTGACTGATGACATTGCCAAGCGGAATTGGGAAAAGTATGGGAATCCGGATGGGCCGCAGACCACAAAGGTTGGAATCGGCCTGCCCCGCTTCCTTTTGGAAAAGGAGAACCACTTGATGATTCTATGCACCTTCTTCTTTGTGATTGTTTTCCTGGTGCCCATTACTTTCATTTGTTATTATCAAAATGCCAAGAATTTTGCTGCGAACGGTGTCACCTGGCCAAATTACCAGCCGCAATGACAGTAATCAGCAGTGGCTCACGAAACACCCAGAACATGTTGATCAGCTCTGGCAGGTCATGATTGAAACGCTTCAATTTCTTGGGTGACTCGCCTGCTTTGGAAATTACGTGTCTTTTTTGAGCAGGTGTGACGCCCGAGAGGTATGGGGTATCTAAGAGCTACTTGAACATCTGGCGCCTAACACATGATGCTCAGGTACTACATCGCAGAGTCTGCGCGTGCAAAGCACGGCCCTGAACTTCTCGCTGCTTGTGCAGAGAGCCGGCTGATGGGCACGCGCCCGACGGATAATGCCGACATCAAGAAGCTTGGAGGCGCCCACAGAATCGTTCGCTTAGCACGGATTCGAAGTTCTACAAACCTTCTCATTGCGAGAAGGCTTCTATTCAGTGAGCTGGTCCATAGCCCTAGGGAAAGAAACAAGGCTTCGAGCTTAATTTAAGTGCTGGTGACGCAATCTTTCCTGTTGAGATCTTGTATGCAGGGTTTTCGGCAGACCTAGTTCCGTCTTGTGAAGCCGTTGTTGTGGTCTGGGGACAGCGCTTGGCCCAAAAGTTGGGCAGTGTCCAAATGGTTAGTTGCTGTGCTGAATTCTGTGCAGCTTCCACGCTTTGCTAGGACATGTGATAGAGCACAAGAAGCGCGTCTTCACCTTCCCTGCCGTCATGAAGAACCAGTACCTGACCTGGGCTCACATGCAGAGGCGCCATTCCTTGATGACGCCTCCCTTGCGGCAAGATTTAGATGAGCTGCTGGGGCATTCTATGAAGGTCACCCAAGCCATGATTGAGGTGGCCTGCATGAGGGAGTGGTTCGCGACAGCTCAGGGCATGATCGAGTTCCGGCGCTGCCTAGTGCAGGCTCTTGACATTAAGAGTTCTCAGCTCCTGCAGATACCGCACTTCACGGAGAAGCAGGTAGAGCTCTGTCAGAAGGCTTCCCCTCCTGTGACAGCTCTCTCTGATTTTCTTGCTCTAGAGCCAGATGAGCGAAAGAAACTCAGCCAGCTTGCCGACACGGAGCTTTTAGACGTGGAGGCATTTTGTGGGCACATTGGCCAAACTTTGATAAAAGCGCACATTGGCGTCGAGGACGAGTCCGAGATCGTAGTTGGTGATGTTGCGACAGTCAAGGTTCAAATGTGTCGCAAGCACCTGACGGGCAACGAAGCCCAAGGGCCCGTCAGTGCCCCGCTCTTTCCCGGCGCCAAGTTTGAGGAATGGTGGCTCTTCCTCGTGGACTCTGGCGCCAAAGAGCGAATAGTGCACTTCGAGCGCGTGCTCGATCTGGAGCGCTGTCTTGAAGAGAAGCTGCGATTCCAAGTTACGAAAGCTGGCGAGAACAAGCTCGTCTTGTACGCCATGTGTTTCTTGGCATTGCAGCTCCTAGCTACAGTTACCATGACAATCCCGTAGAAGCGAGATCGAGAAACGTCTGAGGTGATGCATATGCTGGCATAGACCACAGGATCGAGCTTACTTTTACTGCGTATGCAGAAGATGAGATGATGCGGAAGATGCCCGTGCATCAGGCCCGTAAACATGTTACACCAGTGTGGCGTCGCTCTGGCTCTGCTTTAAAAATGTGATGACGTAGATTTGACATGTCGTGTGAAGAGCAGGAAGATGAAGATCTAGATCTTCAGCCTACGCTCTTTCAGCAATGGATGGGCGATTTTAAAGGCGATGAAAGCTCCTTGCCAAACAAGTGCGCTGCATGAGAAGAAGTGTGGGTTGTGTCTTATTAGCAGGCCTGAGCAGCACCTGGAGCCGAGGTGAAGAGGAAGAGGATGGGGAAAGGGAGCCAAGAAGATTCCGTGGCCGCGCTGGCCGGTCGAAGGCCACTATCGCACCATTTGCTTTTGCATGGGTTTCCAGGAAGCAAGGTTCCTGGGTTCCTGCAATGCAAGGCCACTTGCTTCGCATGAGACTTTCACTGTGCAAGCCCATTCTGCTGAACGCAAGCGCCCGGTGCTCTTTCCAGGGTGCAACCTGCGCAAGACCAACAATGTGTCTAGCCGCCAGCCATGAAGCAGTTCCGATCTGGGAGTTCACGAAGAACTGGGCCGAATGTCCCAAGTCCCTCAAGCCTCAAGCTAGACATCAGAGTCATATCCAACAAGCCAAGGTTTTTAATCTCTTCCCCCTAATAATAAACGACGTCCCCCCCCCTAATGATAAATAATCCGGGTGGTCAGAAATTATTTATTATTAGGGGGAATATTTATTGAAAG